AACGGACAAACCAAACATTAGCTCTTGATAGGACCTTTCACAGTTTTGTGGCCACCGTAGTTTTTCCTAGAAGCTTGGAAGGCTGAGTTTTATTCAAATGGCTGTAATCTGGAACTATTCCACCGCTGGATGCCACTGAAACCTACACACTGGTCCTTGAAGCTCCCTTTTTAAGTTATAATAGTAGGATTTCTCAACTGTCATGCACCTTAATGCATCCTCCATATGGTTAGATACATCCATTTATAGATAAAGAAGACATGGCGTGACTGGAAGAGTGGTTGAAAACAATGTAAATGATTACAGACATTAGTATCAGATCCATGAACATGGACAAGAGCTAAGAGCCAATGGGATTATTGTACTAATTGCAATATGATTAATTTTTGCCATATTTGTATATTTTCATAAGACCTTGTGTTAAGTAATTCCCAAGCTGGGAAAACTAAGTTCAGTAAGGTGTACTCTCCTCCACCGGGACTCACTGAGCATAGGAAATGTGCAATTCTATAGCTCCCTGAGGGAAAAATTACCCCACTGAGGTACAATGGTGTCCTTTTGAGGACACAGTTCACATTGTTCAATGGGCTTACAATGCTGTGGGACAGTCCAGGAAGAATAGTTTGATGTAAAATTCACATAGATTTCACACCAAAAAAGACACCACTTCATTTACTGGTCAGATGTGATAACCCCATCAATGTTTTATTATTTATTGTTATCTTAGTTTTTTAGAGTGTTTATCTTCCCATTCTCCTGCTGCTTGTTATGTTTTTAGGTTGCGCTTGCATCTTGTAACTAGCTGAGTATTTTTGATCAGGACAGTTCGCATTAATTAGCCATGAGGCCTTTTGGGAGTTTTGATGCAAGGCATTTTAATAGGGGATAAAAATGAAGTTTAGTATCCCTACAGGCCCTTATCTTAAGGCTATCTTAATGAAGCTTACTTTTTTTGCGGACACGGCAGATCCATACCTCATTGCCTAGTTCTAAACATCATTGGCAAAAAAGGAGAGGGCATAAATTAGCCCCAAGATCCTTCTAATAACCCTTGCCCATCCAGATTTTAGACTCTTTTTTCATGAAAGATATTTGTATAGATATGTGTACATTGTGTATGTCAGAATTTACTCAAAAAAGTACTCAGTTATTTGGGAACATGGTGTCTTAAAAAGCTGTCAAGACTTAAACTTTTGTAGTGAGGCAAAACTTCCATTGTGTTTCAGGCCAGTTTGTGTGAGCCACAGTGGATTTAAGATACCAGTTTTGCTTGACATCACCTTTAAAGTGTTTTCCCAACTGGTCCCCTTTTGGGCTTAGGCAAGAAGACTGTCAAGATAGTTGTTTTTTTTTTTCAAAGAGGCAAAGAAGCAGCAGAATCC